GTGGCGAATGAAAGCGACAGGTCGGAAATCATTGCTAACAATTCGGTCTTTCTGAATTTCATCTATTCATACGAATAATTTCCCGTTCGTTTTCTTACGAGTGACTTGTCTTCATTAACATATACATGTGCAGGTGTTCTAATTAAAAAAGCATCTGCTGAGTCATGATTCGGTCTTAAACATGAATATTTTCTGTTCTGCTACTCACCCCGTTCTCTTTATTGCTCTTTTTCAGCACCTTATTCCAATCCTCAAATTTTAGACTGGATATTTGCAGAAGAATCGGTTAATTTACCCGATAGTCTTAAATTTATTATTTGAAGAATATCAAGCAGATATTAGGATACGTATCCCCTCAATTCTTATTACGATCACATACTGCTACCCAAGCTAAGAAGCATAAGAAACGACATGATGCTACTATTATTACGAAGCGTAAACTTCGCTCCCTTTCGGATACTGTGACCAGCAATGAAAATAGTAGTCATCAGAATCGTAGTGGTGGTAGAGATAGTGAAGAGACAGAAAGTGTGAGCAGTCCACCTATAGTGACTATTCGATCTACTTCATTGTATAAACCTTCTAGTGTTTTGACGTCATCGGACCCTGCCGCAAATGTTAGATTGGTTGAAGATGCTCAAGAATGTGCAACTGTAACTTTTCCTACTCCGGTTGACTGTCAGTCGAGTGACGATGAGAAGAAGGCATGTGATGGTAACAGCCAGTCTACGGTGTTGCATGATAACGATGCTATTGATGTGCATATGTCTTGTGTCTCTGAAACGGAACATGAAGAACAACAAGTGAGTTCATCGGTTTCGAGTTTTGACACTAATGCTGTTCTTTCATGTAGCGAGATGAGTTGTACAACAATTGAAGAGTTTCACTCTACGGATGCTAGTGTAGACAGAAACAACGTGACTTGTCTGACAGAACGGAATCATGTTGACGATGATAATAATCTGGATGTCACTGATGTGACAAATGAGTTGTCGACGATGACGAATGCTGATCAAACCTCCTCTGTATCAGGAGATGGAGAGTTAAATATTGTTCCTATGTTATGCCATTTAGAGTCTTCAGGAGACGAGGAAATATCGAAATTGGAGATCCCACCCTTGCATATTATCTATGGGTCAAGAACTTCTGTTGATAAGTCAGTATCACGGTCTTCATCGTATCTGCCGTTCAGAGCAAGTGGTGGTGGATTGACGACTCATCCCCATGATGTGGAATGTAAATCCCGAATAGGATATGACCAGCTTTACGACGTGTTATACATGTTCATGTGGGTTAATTGGATGAAGTTTATACTACCGTTAGGTCATGCTACGATAGATAGGGGAATCAAGGACCTGATGGGAAGGTACAGGTACATAGTTAGCTTGATAGGTCACATCCATGTTGGAGGGACGGTAGGCGTACTGCTGTAAGTCCTACTCGTTCTTCCGGTGTGGATTAGGGGATGAGAGTGAACCCTAAATTGAAGTGTCAGAAAGGGCTTGTTCTGCATGGAGGGATTTTGCGTGCCGGTTTAGAATCTATATTGAATGTTTGTTGTAAATTTCTTGTGATGCACATACTTGGATTGTTGTTACCTATTTCTGCTGGTGTAAAGAACCAAGGTTCTTTTGGTCGGGAGTGTAACGGGAGAAATGAAGACATTTGGCTGATTGAAACCTTTATACAAATATCATTAATTTCACCGTGGTTTTTGGGTATAATTCTTTTACTTAACTTATGAACTTGTTCGATTTATTATTTTCGGACATTTTGGTTTCTGTTTGTCTTCGTTTGCTAATTGGGATATTTTGCTCCAGGAACACATCATTATTAGACACATGTTTTTTCTTCTCAATCTTGTTGTTTTTGTTGTTGCCCGCATTGATGTTCCGACTATTGACAGTTAGTGACGAGTTACGGTATGTTTGGCATGCAGGTTTTAAAGCTAAGCTACCACTGCTGCCACTTACACTACTACCAGTATTTCTGTGACTACTTGTACTAGTATGCGACTGTCCATCAAGTGACTGAAAACAAACATCAGGAGGACGCGCTAAGCTGCTTTTATCTCTCGCTTCGCTATTATGATATTCCGTAGATCTAGATACAGTGGCTGACAAGCATCCTGATCGCGCAGCAACATGAAGTGCTGCGTCACTATTTACGCTTGTTGTCCTAGGATCAGCTGTATGTTGTTTCAAATAATTTACCCTACGTGAAGGGCTCCGAACATAAGCTTCGTTCCTCACAGTCAAACCTGTTTCGTCCTTATTCATAATCACTGAACTCATCAATCTCTGTTTGCTCGAATCCAAAAATAATATTCCTTGCATTTCGAGCAGTTAGTAAACTTCTACCACCACATACCTCGGATCCGTCTTGATACCTAGCCTTTCTGACTATTTTACTTCTTCGTCATCCTCACAAAAACCACCTTATCTGCTGCAGATACTGACTTCTCACTAGGATATACGTCCAAGGATTTTACATCATGGAGCTTACATGCTCGGTCTTCAGGAGGATTTACCTTGCTAATACAATTAACAAATCTCTTAACTTCCGAGAGTGAGGTAGGTGAAAACACATTCAAAGAATTCCCATGTCCCGCATGCAGATGACTAATCGCTGTCCTATAATGTCCTGTTTTCGTGCGACTAGCTAATCGTCCAAATCTGCTACTAGCTATCCTTGCACGAGACAAAATAAAGTCAGTCAATTCATTGAATGTAGGCTCTCTATCCTCTTCGTCCCATTTAATTCCCAGCTCTACCCACTGCACTTGCATATGATGAGGTAGAAGCCTGACTCCCCTTTCTAATATTACTAAAGAATTCGATTCAGCAATGCAATTTTTTGTTCCAGAGTCATAGATACGTTCTGCATCTTAATTGCTAAATTCGACAATTGCTCTGGATCGTTATAGTCAGCATTCCCAGATCTAAACAAGTCTTCCAAGGTTTCACGAGCGATTACTTGCGATTATCCGAAAAGCTGTTTTAGAATATCCTTAGCCCTTTTATATCATGCGTGAGGTTCCATTATAAGACATCCCTCTTGCCTTTCCCTTACAGTAATGGATTATATGCAATAGGCGCAGATAACTCTAGGTTCTATAAATGTCTCAAAAAACTTAAGGAACCTAAAGTAATCACGGTGTCGGCCGTCACAGAAAGGAAGTTCAAACTTTAGCAATTCTAAGCCAACTACCGGTGTCCTAGACATCAAATCTTTCCCAGATATCTCAAAGTTCTCGTCCAAACTTCGTTCTTTAGTACCCTCTTATGATGACTTATGACAATAAGGCGAACTCAGCAAGTGTGTGCCTGAGAAAATAGTTAACATCATACGGAATTCCTATGATGGATTCAACTGCAAAATCGAACACGGAGGACAGCTAACAGACTCTTTCGAGGTGAAGACCGGTGTCAGGCAAGGTTGCTTACTCTCACCCTTTTCCTTTCTCCTGGTGATCAACTCGATTAGGAAGACCTCAGCATCTGAAGGGAAGCACGGTATTCAGTGGACAGCTAGAACGCAGCCTGACGATCTGGACTTCGCAGATGACCTGGCTCTTCTATCTCACACGCAACAACAAATGCAAGAGAAGACGAACATTGTAGCAGCAGCCTCTGAAGCAGTAGGTCTGAACATATATAAAGGATAAAGCAAAATTCTCCGGTGCAACACAACATGCTCCAACCAAATCAGTCATAAGGGAGAAGCCTTGGAGGACGTTAACACCTTTACATATCTGGGCAGCATCATCGACAACCAAGGTGGATCAGATGCAGATGTGAGGACGCGGATTGGTAAAGCAAGGGCTGCATTTCTACAGTTGAAAAACATCTGGAGTTCCAAACAACTTTCAACCAAAACCAAAATCAGGATTTTCAATACAAATGTCAAGACAGTTCTACTGTATGGAGCGGAAACATGGAGAACTACCAAAGCGATCATCCAGAAGATACAAGTGTTTATTAACAGTTGTCTTCGCAAAATACTTCGGATTTGTTGGCCAGACACCATCAGCAACAACGTACTGTGGGAGAGAACAAACCAGATTCCAGTGGTGTAGGAAATGAGGAAGAAGCGGTGGAAGTGGATAGGATACACACTACGAAAAGCACGTAACTGCGTCACGAGACAAGCCCGTGCTTGGAGCCCTCAAGGCAAGAATAAAAGAGGAAGGCCAAGGAACACATTACTTCAAGGTATAGGGAAAGATATGAGAGGAATGAACAAACATTGGACAGAACTGGAGAGGGAAGCTCAGGACAGAGTTGGCTGGAGAAAACTGGTGAGCGGCCTATGCTCCATTGAGGGTAACAGGCGTAAGTAAGTAAAGTAAGTAAGAACTGAAATATATTCACAGTAGTCCAACGGACTCTGGTTATCTCACAAGTCAAAACAATCTAAGGCCTTCAAAACCCTGTTTAATAGGCGATTCAGATTTCTTTGGAAGATGACGAGAGAAAGCGGTTTTCCCAAATCCGAAGATGAATGGTCTACCGTATGTGGTACAACTAAAGTAGTTTAGAATGAAGGTAGATCTGGTCAACTGAAAGGAAGAGGTAGGTGAGTTAAAAGGCCCGGGGCCTGCCAAATAATTCTAGGATGCAGATTTCATCACCGAGTAATCAACTCGCAGATCCAAGTACCAGAAGAAGTGGTGTCATTAGCTTTAATTGCTTTGTTAGGGATAAGAATAGAAGCAGAAGTTTGATAGGGTATAACTAACATATAACTTCAGCTCTCTTTTCTAATAAAAAAAACCTAAAGATGAATTCGATATTCGAATTTCGACTTGGAATGGTACCGAAATAACAAGAATCAAGCGCAAAGAAGTCAAAATGTTTATACTAGCTGGTTGAAAAAAAGATATTGGATATTGAAACCGCCAAGGTCTTATGTGACCGCTTAGAAGGAGATTCACGTTACTTATGATGATGAGGTTTGCTTTTTCCTAATATAACCTCTTTCACTAGTTTTTATCCAAGGTTATTTTGTTTGCGAAACCTTACCGGTCGTACTGAAGTTTTTGGACCACTATCAAAAGCTTCTGTAGGATTTTTACGGCAGCCGTTAATTGTACGTGTAGCTAAAGCAGCTAAAGGTAGTTCAAGCGACCAAGTTCGTAAGCAAGCTGAAAAGGAAATGCAATCATTTTGGGAAAAAAATGTGAAGGAAAAGAGACCATGGTCTCCTCATCTCCAGATTTACTCTGCGCCACTAGTAATGAGATTCTCTTTTCTCCATCGAGCGACGGGTATTGCTATGGCCATCGGTAAGTCACTTTATAAATTAGCATGTCCACATTGGAAGAAAGGAAATAAAATTTAGTTTGCGACGCTTATCACCTGAGTATCTGACTGTAAACAATAGGTACTTCACTTTATTGCCGAGATGGATATTCAAATAAAATATTGCAAAGCTAACTAATCTATCTCGTCAGCTTTCCTTTGGAAATAAAACTAGTTAATTGTTCGCAGCATATCCCGTGAAGTTACGCTGGATTTTTTTTATACGTGTTGACAGACCAGTTGGTTGTATCTATCTCAAATCGTCCAAAGTAAATGGCTGAATGTCATGTTTTTGTGGCTAGCAGAGGAATGCAAGGCGCATCTTTCTTCCATTTTGATACTCTTCATCTGGACGTATCTGCACCGCCCCCAATAATAATAGTAATGTCAGGAAGTCTGAATATCAGTTTTACTACGAGCTCACTTGTGAATAGCTTAACTTACTGCTGCTAAACTAGAAAAGATTATTCAGCTGTTTTCTGAAGTCACCAAATACAGGACGAGAAGGTGTCAAAAGGTTATTTTGGCCAAGGTCTCTTCATCAGTTTGACCGTGAAACCCATATATCCATAATTTACCAGCTGCCTATAATTCTACCACATGGACAAAAAGTTCATGATGCACCTCTAGATGAAACATCCCAACGTCATTGCGGATCAATGACTCAAATTATATGCAAACACAAATTCTAAACCAAAGTGATGATTACGCTTCAGTCTGATTCTGAAATTGGTGTTGAAACCTATTTATCTTCGTAGAATTAAACTGGTTTGCAAAATACTTGTGTCAAATATCATCACTTAAGGAGTTTTAGCGTTGAATAACAGCAAAAAGGTTTTTCAAGGTAAACCTAAACATGATTTAGCTTTTCCACGAACGCTTGACTGTGGTTTTAGGGGCTACTGACATATTGCGAGCATTTATTCTGGCCAGGTAACACACTTTTGAACATAATCTAGGTATATTGTTCTTATATTCAGTGTAGGCTACAGAATATACGGGCTTAAAGGTGTGTAAACATCCAACTAGTGAACTTGAAACGAAAAGTCTGTGTCTTACAAAAAAATACATATGCCTGTCACCTCCAGTGAAGCATAGGCCGCCGACCGGTGTTCGCCAACCTACACTGTCCGGGGCTTCCCTTTCCAGTTCTGTCCAATTTTTGTTCATTCTTCTCATATCTTTCCCTATATCTCGACGAATTGTGTTTCTTGGCCTTCCTCTTTTCCTTTGACCTTGGGTGTTCCGAGTGAGGGCTCGTTTTGTGACGCAGTTGGGTGCTTTCTGTAATGTGTCCTATCCGAAGCTGCTACCTTGACGTGGTGGTCGGGCTTGCCTATCGTGATGACCCAACCGAGCTATACTGGCTGGAACACATGTTCCTGCAGGTCCTACCATGCCAGGCAGGTCGATTGGAGAACGATGAGACTAAAAGCAGCTACCCAAGGTCTGAGGGCGAAGTCGTACTGCTGACTGCAGAGGGGTGTGACAGCAGTAAGGTGTTTCCCTCGGACAACCAGCATCTGCAGCGATGCTGCCTTCTCACAAGGAAGGAAGGGTTAGAAAAGGTGGGCCCTAAAAATGTCACACCTCCCCTAACTCACGGATTTCCGTCTCCTTGGGTAAGGGTGCCCACTAAGGGCCTTTAAGAACGGAGCTAATCCTCTAAATACCTCATAAAAAGGCCGTGCGTGACCGGCCTCAAGCAGTTGTCCCTTGGACTCTGCGGTCACGCATCAACACTAATCCATCTTCCTTTTCAGGTTCGTCAAGAAACCTTCCACGGTGTGGGCAGCCGGGAAGTGATAACCGCCCTCATACCCGTAACAGCACACGAGACAAAATTGTTCAAAATCAAATCCTTCCTACATTCCCTAATACGTCTCTTATCTCCACAACTAACTCTTCTCACATTCATTTATTACAGTGCACAGCTAATGCAAACGATGCGAGTTTGCGAAACGTCGTTCCTGGTCTCCTTAAACCCCGTTCCAAACTACATGTTGGAGCATTCAATGTACGGACATTGTGTCAAATAGGGCAACAGGCATCATTAGCTAGGACCTTAGAATCTCGTGCCATCGATGTGTGCTGCGTCTCGGAAACGCGCATACAGGATCCGAGTAGCATCACTCATTTGACCTCACCATGTCAAGATAAAGAAGCAGCTCGATTTACCCTTCGTGTATCCGGTAGCCCTGATGCTGCTTCTAGGGGCCTCGCCGGTGTAGGTATAGCATTGAGTCGTAGGGCAGAACAATCTCTCCTTGACTGGATCCCTGTAGATAGTCGCTTGTGCGCCGTCCGACTGAACGGGACAGTAAGGACTCGGAAAGATAGGGACACTCGTCGTTGCCTCTTCGTCATATCAGCCTACGCCCCCACCGACTGCAGCCCAGATGATGTAAAAGATGAGTTTTACAGAAAGCTTTCGGACCTCCTCCAAAAAGTTAAGCGCTCTGATATAGTTATAATGGCTGGTGACTTCAATGCACAAGTAGGTAGACTAAGTGAAAATGAAAGACACCTAGGTGGATGTTACGGTCTCGCGGCTCACAGAACAGACAATGGTGACCGTCTGTTGCAACTGTGCTCAGATAACCAACTATTTCTAGCAAACACTAATTTTAAGCATAAGGAAAAACATCTTTTGACCTGGCGAC